ATATATGTTGTACTGTCCTTCTGTAGAAGTGAACAGGTTGAGACTTTCAATGTATGGTGTATTGATGTATTGGTTCTTGTCTTGCACCACCAGTGGTGGTGCCAATATCTCATGTACATGTGGTACAGTACTGAGGCTGATACTTAAGAGTCCAGAAATGGTTTTAAACCTATGTGTGGAGAGGTCTTTCCTGCTTGGTAAATAAGTTTACTACATAATAAAAGGTGGAGCAGCACTGAAGCCTTGGGTCATCAGATGATTCTGTTGGGGATCTGGACAGTTCCAAAGATACAAACACTTCTGTGTTTCTAGCAAAGGATGAAGTTTCACACATAAATGTTATAAGGAAGTTCTCTTGGAGGTATTTTATTACATTGAGACAATATGGTCGATCCGTTAAGCAAGAAATGTGGCTAGAATGATACAGAACAAAAATCAAAGGAATTGTAGTTCAGCAATATTAAGTGTAAATATTAACAACAGTAACGATACAGTATTAAATATGTAAAATATGTAAATATGTAAACTTATGAGAATTTTAATGTTTTCTTACATCTGCACCTGGAGGGAAGTTTTTCTAATGAATTCAAATTTTGTATCTAAGAGTTCTTATTTTCTTATGCAACAGCTGCTGATACATTTTGTGGATTAAAGGATCAAATCTTAAGGAACAGATAAATAAACACATTTTCTTTCAGGTGGGATCAAAGTTTTGCAGTTTCAAGTCAAAGGACATTTAAACTGAGTAACAGGAATGGTCATTAACTTTTATGTACTGTCTGCTAAAGTCACCACCACAAAAAAAACAACCCTCAAGCAAACAAGCAAGCAAGCAAACAACAACAAAAAGCTTTTACAAAATATTATTATTGGAAGATATCTTTTACACTTAAGATGTTTTTTCTCTTGTAAAATAGATGTTCAGTGAAATCTGTTGAAGATACCAATTTCAAACATAAATACTAATTTTTAATAAGAACATTTTATAGATTTTTTCTGGTCAAAATTTTAAAAGAAAATACAGACTTTTACTGTATTTGTTACTGTTATTGTTACAGAACACATCTGGAAGGTGATTTTTAACAATTATTTATTAAAAGGTATTATAAAATTTGAATGAATTTGATTTCATACTTGTGTCCTGATGTGCATGGAGTCTGTAAGAAGAGTACACTTGCAGTACATTACTCCCTTTGGCCATCTTCTGCCTCCTGCATTTCTCACTTTTGAAGGAAAATTTCTATGAAACTTCTTCAGCCTGACTTATATATGGCCAGTGTTAAGTCCTGGAATAGTTTCCTGTAATTTTTGTTAGAATATTTTGTTTTACTTTTTTCCCCTTCATCTTTGGAGGCTGTGTGGGTGAGGAAACCTCCCCATTTAGGCTATGCTGTTGACCTCAGTAGTAGAACTAGATGAATTTTGGGGTGCATGATGAAAAAGAGGTATTGTTATATGCATTTATTCCTCTTACATAGTAGCCTCGTTGCTCTTTCTGTCAGAGGGGAATGAATTAATATCTCCCACAAGGGTCCACCAAGCCATTATATCATACGCTGTTATTAAGTTTTTAACCTAACCTTTAGGTACTTGTCTACATTAAGGAATATTTAATAGACTTAAATTTTCCTTGCATCTGATGAAAATGTGCTCTATAGCCTGGAAGTTAAGGAGCAAACTTGTGTAAGACAAATAATACTTCTATAGAAGGCAAAACTGTTGAGAGGGATTTGCTGCTGCTGTTATAGCACAGCCAGAGATACAGAGATCCTGTCATTCCTCAAAAAGGTGGGAAAGGTGGTTAAAACCTTGCAAAAGAAATAATTGAACCAGAGCTGCCATGGGCTGGGTAAGATGCTTTCTGCTCTGTGAATTCTGCAACCGTTTTCTCCAATTTCATTCCTGCTTTGCTGTAGATTAAGTAGGAGGATTTCTCCAGTAATGTGGAGTATGACATGCAAGATAAGCACCTGGTTTTGAATCCGTCGTGTAAAAAGGGTTTTATACTGATGCAGAAAATAAGAAATCTATAAATAACTGCTACATATTTATAAATAAATGAAATAATCTCTCAGTTAAGATTTGCTTAGTTGCTAGTATGTTCAGCTACCTCTCAGTGCACACGGAAGGGCAAAACATCTTCGTTAATACACATCGTAACCGTCATATGAGATTAAAAAATTCAGATGTAGACTGTCTAATTAGAAAAGTACCGGAAGAGGTGCAGCGCTTGCTGTTATCTTCCCTTTCCATGGCAGTAAAAAGCCAGAGCTTTAAGTCTTTCTGTGGTGGAGGAGAACCGAGTTTAGTTTGCATGGTTCCATTTTTTTAATAGAATATTTGTTGTAATAAGAAATTTACCTGCAGACCTCTCCATTATTTAATTGCTTTCTTTAAATTGGTTATTATACAAATTCCTGCATGTCTTCAGGTTTGGGGGTTTTTTTGCGTATTATAAGTGAACAGCTGTGTAAGATAAGTTAAATCATATGCGTAATCCAATAATGTGGCCAAAAGCATTATGTTTCTCCAGTATTTTTCATAATTCTTTTGACCCACTTGGTCATCTTACTTAATCCTGGAAAGGTTTTTTTAAGGAGGTTAGTAAAAAATAAAAATAAAGCAAAACCCCCTCTTTGCTACTTCTGCTAAGTTTTTCTTTAGCATAAAGCATTAAGTATAATGCTTATCATGTTTTTAGTGGGGGAGAGCAGATTATTTGGCATCTTAGCTTGTGTTATTGCTGCATCCTCAATAGAATATGCCCATATGAAGTCACTGTTTTTAGTGTGGGAGTTGGATGATTTATGTAGTTAGGAGCAGTGATATTCCTGTCCAAATGGAGTATGTGTATTTTACCACAATTCCTGTTAGTAAAGTTGAATTATCATTTTCTAGGCTTGAATATCATCTTAAAGTAAAAATATCTGCTTCACCAAAACATTGTTCATACAAATAAAACTAATTACTTATATGTTAAAGTCAAAATAGGTTCACCACCCTATTTTGGGTGGTGAACCTATTTTGACTTTAACACCCACCCACCCACAGAAACACAGAATTACCTCACTAGAAATACGTTGGTTAAATGGTGCGAGTCTCAATGCTAATTAAGTGATTAGGTAGCTCAAAGCAGGTGTAGACAAAAGATATCAAGACCTCTATAGACAACACACCTACTGTTATAATTTGTTAAACTCAAGATTCCCTGTTTCTATTAAGAATCCAGTTATCTGATCATTATTTTTTTTAATGTTATCCATGGAGATGTAGATTTGAAGCAACACCTGAAAATGCGGGGGAGGAGCCTGTAGTTTCCACACAGCTTGGTAAAAAGACTGAGTTGTGACATGTGCCCTACTGGACCCTCCCACTTAGGCTGTCTGAGGTCTTTGCTCAAGCTCATGAAAAAAAAGGTCAGGAGTTGCAGTGCTGTCCTGGTACACCTACAGAATTTTTTCTCTTTTGTATGATTTGATGAATAGTAAGATAGTTAACAGAGCTGAAATATGATCCTTTTAATTAAGCTTCAGAGTGGGGTTTCACATGACAGCTGAGCTTGTTGCTGCAAAAAGGGTGATCCTGCTGTGCACTGGTCCTTTTCTTTTCTGGCTTCAGGAGCTCATGTCCTACCTTCCCCCAGATCTGCAGCACCTTGCTTAGAGTGTGACAGCTGAGCTTGTTGCTGCAAAAAGGGTGATCCTGCTGTGCACTGGTCCTTTTCTTTTCTGGCTTCAGGAGCTACCTTCCCCCCAGATCTGCAGTGCCTTGCTCAGAGCAGAGTGATTCAGGAAGCAAAATGATGGGAAAACTGTTTTTTCGTTATTGTTGTTGTTGGGTGTTTTTGTTTGTTTGTTTTTTTGGTAGGAGAATTAATTTTCTGTTGGTTCAAGTCCATGGGTTAGCTCACTGAGGAGGACTTGGTGAATGTCAAAATCAGTGCCTAAGGAGCAGTGACAGCACACAGCCAGGAGCAGGAGAGGAGCTGGATTGACCATTTTGGAAGTGCCTGGATCTTTTAGCTGGTTCATCTCTGAAACTTCATCCTTGCCAACAAAATCTCATAGAAACCAACAGGAGAACATCTGTTTTCTCAGAGATAATATCATATTGATAAGGAAGATTTTATCACTACATATTTAATTATTATTATACCTGACTTATAGAAGGGGAAGTGAAGGTTAGAAGGCTGAGTGCTCTTCCCTGAGCTCGTGATTTGAAGCTAGATCTTTTGGGCAGCAGGACATTGGTGGACATAGTATCAGGCTGTTTGTTATTTGGGGCAGCTAGAGGAGAAATGCTACTTCTTTGAACACCAGTCTTCGTCTTAGGAATCAATATACATGACAATACTCATACACTTCTACAGCTGAGCTGGAAGAAATGTCTGTAATGAGGGACAGCAAACCTTCTGTAGTCTCTCATACTTAACAAGAGAGAATGCTACAGATGGTTAATGTATAGATTTGATGTAGAAAATTGTTCTCAGATTCTTGTAGGGCTAGTGAGAGCACGTGTCGAAATCTTTAAGTTATACGTTTTAGCGATTTCAACTTTGAAAAGAGAAGTGTGACACTGTAACTCAAGACTGATTTGTATATTTTAATTATATTTGCTGTATAACTAACATTGATTAAAAAGCAATGCAAATTTTATCAGGCAATTGTATTTCTGCTTTTATTCTCTACGTGGTAGATACTTCTGTTTAAGACTATGCATTTTTTGCCAGCTTTTTATATTTGGATCAGTTTCTGGTCAAATGAAATGATTTGCTCATGAGCTTTGAAGTAAGCCTAATAGGAATACATATGTCTGTTATTTTTTTCCTTTAGATGTTCCTATAGAGTCTTCCATGTGCAGTGTGTATTTGATATGAGGTACATTTATTATTGTGAACATGCCAAGAATATTAGGTGGCATTATAAATTGAAAGAAAGAAATACACAGTAGTGGTATTTCCTCCTATTCTTGCTATATAAACTTTTTTCTCATCTATGCAGGAGGTTGCATCAACAATTTGAGAGCTATAAAGAGCAAGTAAGAAAGATAGGGGAAGAAGCCCGCCGTTACCAGGGAGAGCACAAGGATGATGCTCCAACATGTGGAATCTGTCATAAAACAAAGTTTGCAGATGGTTGTGGCCATTTGTGCTCTTATTGCCGGACCAAGTTTTGTGCTCGATGTGGAGGTCGTGTCTCTCTGCGATCAAACAATGTAAGTCTTCTGATGTATACTCTTAAGAAAAAGCCTCCTTGATGTTGTCACGCTGCAGATTGTTCACCTTAAGTTTGGCATTTCATGCTTCATTTTACTCAAGTGTTTCATTCATCACTCTGTTATGAGTTGTGTGTAAAGTAGAATAATGTATTTAATGATTGTGGAGATACTTATAATTCACAGAGTTAATTAAAAAAAAATAATTCATAGTGTATAGTTCTACTGAGTGATGGCTTGAAGAAAACATACTTGTTTTTCATAGAATGAAAGAAGAAAACCTTTTGCTCAGGTACAACTCCACAGTGATAATTTTTATTGAACTCTTATTTCATTGTAGATTTATTTTTTTAATATAACTTTTCATATACATTTATAGATTTCATTTAACATAAAATCAGTCATTTTTTTGATTAGAAAAAACCCCAACCACTTTTCTTACTACAGTGGGTGTTGTGTCAATTTATTTTAAATTTATTTAAAAAGTAAAACTTTAGTTTAATCTGGATTAGGTATCCTACTTTCAGGCAGGTGAGATAAATCTTTCTCCCTCTGATCTGCCTGCAGTTAGCTGCAGTAGCTGTCCACAAAACTGAAGGGTATCTGAGAATACCCTCTGTTCAGTCAGTCCCTTACAAGGAACTGGCTACTCACTTGTAGATGAACGGTAGAATCTATATTTGGAAGACCATTATCCAGTAATTATTTTTGTCTGATCATTTAGGACTATGGTGTGTTATAAAACATTTTACAAATATCCTTTAATTGCATGAATACTTTTGTTATCTGTCGTGAAACAACTTTCTCGTATAGCTTTAAGGTGCCAGTCTTTTGTAGGGGAAGTGCATCAATGCTCTTTGTATCAATACAAATTAAGTTGAAAGTAGTTACATATCTTATAGCAGATAATCGTGCTCACAATAGAACTAATTTATGGCCTTTTCACTTTCCTAGAGCTAAACATCAACTAAATGGGGCTTCTGAAATTTCATGTAAACAAACAAACAAAAAACCCTCAGAAAAACACATGTTTAGTCTTTATTTTAGAAGTTTTCTGTAGCCTTGATGTACTTGTGAGTCCATTAAACTGAATTCACGTTCTGGAAAAATTATATAGGTGTACTGGAAAAAAAAAATAATAATCTGTTCATTTTTTAATAGTGCTTTACATTGCATCACCTGCAGGTGGTGTCATTAGAGAAGGTCTATGAAATGTTATGTTACACTAGTAGAATGCATATGACACAGCTTATCTTTACTCAGAAAAAAACTGAATGCATTTTAATTATTTTTCACCCACTGTTTCAAGTCACAGAAATGGAAAATTGTCCATACATTTGTAAGTTGCCTTTTGTTTGTTATATTGTTTATGCTTCTGTGGGTTAGGGTGGGAAAACATGTTTTCTACATATACAGTAATGTAATCTTTTTATTTAAAGCTTTTTTAAAATTTTATGTTTTTATCTCTTTGTAGAGGAGAGTTATTGGAATTGCATTTCTTTGAAATCTGTCTATTAATACTTGCCTATTTTTTTCTTTTTCTCTTCTTTTTTTCTTTTCTCTTTTTATTCTGCTTCCTTGGATGCTTTCCCAAAGGAGGACAAAGTGGTTAGAATCCATGCTTTTTATAATTTATTATTATAATGTTGTTAGTTAACTGGGAAACATATTAATGTAAAAAAAAAAATGAACTGAAATTTTAAAATCATCCAAAGGGGAGGGGGGAAGAACAGGAATCCTAACACCCGGGTCCTACCCATCCCCTAGCTGAAAATACGCCCTGGCTATCTTTGCAGATAGCCCAGCAAGAAAACCCAAGACTGTTGTCAAAACTAGGACAATAAAATAAATAATTAATTAAGAACTGAGAATTATTAATAGGCCAAAAACTAGAGGAGGTAATAAAGTGGAATAAAGCCTAATTTCATAAAAATGTCTTTCGATAACAATTAGACTTTTTGCATGCAAGGTCCTTCCATCAGCTTCAGGAAATCTAATTTAGTATTTTAATTGTAATTTTACATTGATTTACATGGTTTGCTGTGTTTCACTTCTGGCTGCAGCAGAAATTCAGGGAGTTCTTGTGAAATCAGCTTTTTGATTTACGTTTGGAATAATTTGCATAGGCAAAGTATAACCTCTTAAAACTGGACACAAATATAGTGAGCTAGATGGAGTGGATCCTTTGTCAGTCCGTAATTACCATTTCAAAAATCTGCAAAACTTTTGGGATCAAGTACTGGCATATTCACCACTTATGCCTGTGCCTCCTCTAGAATAGGGGAGGGTGGTTCCTGTTTCATCTCTGCATCATGTGCACAGAGCAGGCAGTGCTTGAGCAGAACAGCACATGTCCACTTACCGCCTCTTCTCAGGCTGGTCTGCAAAAGGTGGTATTCCAGATTTTATCTGGGAGACTGAGGTAGTGGGAATTAGCCAGCTTCACTGGCACATTAGCTGAAACGAGTGTAAAGTCCTTACAATCCAACGTAGTTTTTGACGTGTGGATGATGGTGCTACGCTTGTGTTATGAAGCGGTGGCATGCCCCAGCGTATATCATAGCATAGCTGTAACCTGTAATTTAGTCCTGTGCAACACTCAGAGAAAATGAATCACACCTGCATATTGTAGTACTTTTTTTTCTAAGGCAGTTATGTTGTGAGACCGTGGTTGTTTTTCTAGTGGGTACGAAATATAACTTGCTATAGCTTTATTCCACTGTTTTCTGTGGGGTACTTTGACCAAAGTGGTGAAATAATCCAGGACTTCCAGATCTTTTCCATTCTATTAATCTAAATCACTTAGGATGGAGTGAGAGAATTTTCAGCTTGCTATTGACTTGTTACTAAAGCGGTGCATCATTGATGCATCCACTGGAGTGTATTAAAAGGCTAGTGCACTTGCAACAGTCTTTGGTAGGGCCACAAACAGCAAAGCTCTTTCAGTGCTGAAAGCGCCACTCAGGTACTACTGAACCACTTAGGGTTTAGAGAGCAATCCACGTGAACTTCACCTGCTTATATGTGCTTGAGGCATCCTTCACACTTTAGTTTGGAACAAAAACTTTGCTGGATTACCAAAACCGTGATAGCAGTAGAGATGATGTCTTCGGTGAGGTGACAGCTTAGGTGTTCATCTTTGAATAAATGTCATTTGGGATCCAGAAAATAGACCCCACTGCACTGAAGTGCTCTGAAGACTTGTATGCTGAGGGCATACCCGACTCATTTGGATTGACCTAAATTAAATTAAATAATAGTCGTCTTGTATGCACTTGCCTTGGTTTAGATTTTGCTGTGTTGAGCTTCAAGCTTCCATATGCCAATCAAATGCCCTAATTATATATGTGAAAATACCCTTTTTTCCTTGTGGTGAAGCTGAACTAGATCTCTTTAACAGCTGAGAAGTTATGGGAGTCAGAGGGAGGGTATTGCAATACTTAGTCCAGGTTACATGAGGATCATGGAGAACTTTTTAGGAAGTACAATTGATTTCACAGTGCCTGTTTCTGAAAACTAATGGAATATATACAATGACTATGAATACATACCCAGGAAATAATACCTTTTGTAAGCAGAGCCAGTGTTATAATTTATATAAAGCGGCACCAGAAAAAATATTATTTGTTAATTATTTTCAGTGGCACAATATTCCTGACTCATCTACATACAGGGAGAAGACCTTCTTTATCTGGTAAATTTAATGTTAGTAAAGACTTTAAAAACATATTTAGATAAGCTTTGTTCTCTCCACATTAATTTTTACCACACTATATATTAATATTAAAACCCATGCACCCGGTTCCTACAAGTTAGGGTTGCACCATTGAAAAGGGTAGTGAAGCAAGAGTTACCAAAATGCCAAGCCTAGAAAAGGCTGAGCATGATCCTAGATTACAGATTCCTGTAGACTTGGAGAATTAAATGATTGTTGATTGTATTAATGAGACCTCACCTGGGATGTTGTGAACTGTGCATTACCCATCTTTGATAAATTCAAGCTATGACAGGAAGAAAGTAAGTCATACAGAGGATGATCAAGGAAATAGAGAGTATGAGTATGCACATAGAAGACTTGAGAGAATAAAGGGACAAAAGATAGAGAAATTATAACTGATATCTAGAAATACAGTAAATTTAAACAATAATAATAACCTTTAAACTGGAGGATGATGAATGTAAGATCAAATAGGATAAGAGGATGGTGAATAAGATCCGGTTGGTGTAACTCGGCTGTAATGCTCTTGGCTTGGAAACAAATTTTGGCAATCAGTAGGATAAAGCTTAATAAAGCCCTGGCTCAGTCCTCCCAATGGCCTGGCTGACACTGCCTGCTCTGTTCTTCCCTCCAGTGGTACCACAGCCTTGTAGAGCAAAAAACAGCTGAAAATATGACCTTTTTCCTTGTGTCAGTCCTGTAAAACTTTTTCCTAATATTTGGTTAGGTTATGCAAAAATATACATTTCATTTGTAAACACTTGATACATCGAGTTTTACAGCTCTGTTTCTTCTTATAGAAAAGGCGATACACTTTAGGGTACAAAAGTAGTCTCGAATGAGTGAATACAATTTATTTGAACCAAAATTAAAGTATTTTGTGAGTTGCTGTGGGTGTGTTGAACTAAGTGAAATCAGTATTACACTGACAGAGTTAGGTGGAATATCCATGTTCCAGATTAAGCCTTATATTTCTCCCTAGCAATCAGTCTAACATTCTACAATTTTCATTAGGATGACAATTTTTGATCAATTTAAAGTGAAAAGAGTTGGAAGCAAATGATGAAAAATAGTTTTGTCACAATTTTCCCATGTTTTCCAGAAATGTTAGTTGTGCAGAACAGAGCTTACTTGTTACAATTTGCTTATATATGTAAAGGGTGACTGGGAGGAAATCAGGATGTAAACTATGTTATAGATAAGTGAGAGTTGATTGAACTGAAGTTAGTAGTATGTGATTGCAGAAAGTAATATTGATTATCAATGCTGAAATACTTGAGTTTCACATTTCTGATCTGGATTTCACTGAAATTATTTTCATTTTAGTATCATGTCAGTGATTTATACTTGGAAAGAAAGACAACTTGGAAACATTTCCCTAACTATGTTAGGTGTTTTTACAGGGTATTTGTCATTTAGTTGCTTTAAATTATACTTAAAATTTGCTTACATAATGGCTTGCTAATTTAAGCCTTAACAACTTGAGCACATATGCTGTGCAGTTCAGCTGTGTACTAATGATTTTCACAGAAGTTGTTAATATTGTCAGAGCAAAATGTCTGGAATGTCAGGAGTGTTTTTACTTGCCATTCACAGAACTCTTATGTCAAATTGTCCATTAAAAGGCTAATTTATGTAAGTTCTGACTAATACATCTGTAGAACCAAAAAAAAAAAACCATTCATCAGAAGGAGGCAAAATTACATAGCAAATTGCAAAGTGGTAGCAGATAAATTCTCTCTGTAGCATTCAGTGTAATTTGTTTCCTAAAAGATTTGGAGTTTGTATGCATCAGGGAGAAAGCACTGCTTTTCAGTAATCGCTCCCTAGAACGGCTGCTTCCCACAGATAAAAGAAGAAAAAGGAAAAAAAAAAAAAGTTCATCAAGAAATGGAGAAATTCTATCTCAAGTAAGATGTAGAGCACTTTCCTCTGCTTTCTGGGAAGTTAGTTGACTGTCAAACATACCAGAGTGTTAAATTTTTTAAATGAAATCCTTAAAACTAGCTTGCTCTTCACCAGGTTCGCTGAAGCAACGAGTTTGAATTTAACCCCTGTTTTTCAGTGTCCAGCTGGCAAAAATTATTGGTTACATCTTGTACACAAAAAAAAGCAGGCAGTTGATGCTCATGCTCTGAAGTTAATCAGATCAGGCCTTCTTCATTTAATGGCTGGACTGTAAGAAGAGTCACTAGACAGCTGGGTTTTTCCCCCCACTATGGCTTTAGATCAGCATTAATTCAGTAACCACTCGTTTCTGCGAGTTTATCCATGTTTAGTTTTCCTGTTAGCCAAGCAAACTACTTGCCATGCGATTCTGCAATCGATGACCAAGGAAATACATTGCTATTGCAGCCTTCTTTCTTAACTCATAATAAAGAGCTTCTGAATCCTTTATGGCTGCTTGAAAGCTGGGTAGCAGCTCTGTGGACACCCTACATAAACCATATTGGAAACTCCATGTAGTATAATGGAACCTAAATAAAAAAAAACCCTAAAGTTTTAATCCCCTACAGTGTTACTACTGGATAGGATATCCTACTTTTAGTCTTGTATTTTCAGTACCTTTGTTTCAATTTAACTGATTCAAGATAAAGAATATGGAAATTATTTAGATTTTTTTTTAAGCTAAGAAAATATCAACAATACCTTTGAGTGTAATAATTCCTTCCCTTGCAAAAATTGGTTTTAAAAACATTAAATATTGATAAGATCTCAAAGGTCAATAAGGCTTTTCAAAAAGAGCTTTTTTCCACCTCCTCTTGTCTAATTTCATGTACTAGATATATATATATATGTGGTGTGTATATGTATAAGCATATATTGTGTAGGTTTTCCTAAGTGAATATACAGGCATAATATATATGTGCATTCTACTTTATAGTCTAAT